TAGGTTTCCATCAATTTTAAATAACAATGGGAGGTTTGATTTGTTAGCTCAAGAGAGAAGAGAAAAATCGATTAATGTTCTTAAAAGAGAAGATCTGACAGAAAAATAGATTGAATATAGAATAACTATACTTATATATTTGTTTTTGTGACACTTGGTTTTGATATTTGTTGGAAAAAACCTGAATTTAATCCATTATAGAAAAACCTAACAAACTTTTAGATGAAAGACCACATAGACAGGAACACAAACACTTTGCTCTAACTTTTTTAAAACAAAATAACACCAAAACTTGTGAAAAAGCTGTGAAAACCGCATAAAACATAACTGGCCTAATCTAAACTACATATTTTGACTGATAAACACCAGTAGCGCCAGTATTTCGTATACTCTCCACACAGAAGGTCGCAAAAAAGTTCATCTTTCAACGCTCATATCTCAATAAAGACCGTAATACCTACAAGACTTCGTCCCATTTAAAGGTTGCTGAGAATTATATCCTCTACAACGTATCAAAATCAAAATTTGAAAAAAATCGACTGATCGCAGGAATCCCATATAAGGTGTGCGAGATCCTTTCTTGTCAAAGGACCTCGTACACGTTACATGGGATTTCGGCGATCGGTCGATTTTTTTCAAATTTTGATATGTTGTAGAGGATTTAACTTTTAACAACCTTTAAATGGGGCGAAATCTTGAATATCTTTGAGATATGAGCGTTAAAATATGAACTTTTTTACGACTTTTTGTGTGGAGAGTATTCGAAATACTGGTGTTTATCAGTCAAAATATTGACAAGTTCACATATTTTGCGTCACTAACAAAATGTCAACATGGGCTAAGCTGCGACCGCACTGGCGCCAGCATTGGCCCCAGTGCGGTCCCAAAATCTGTTTTTTTTTAAAGATAAAAGTTAAAATGACATCAAGTTGGCAATACAATGTAAAATTGTCAGCTTTCAAATTTTTTATGTAGAAAAGGCTTGTGTTGCCAACATAGTTACTAAATTTTTGACTTGGGGAATTATCTTTAAAATAAACAAACCGTATTAATTTGTTAGTGACGTAAAATTGTGAACCTGTCAATATTATCACTGATAAACACCAAGAATCGTAAACTCTACAGGATTGCTCAATCGGCTAAATTTGTTCACAATTGCTGTGACGTCACGTGCATCCCGGATTTTCAAGATGGCCGCTGATACGAATGATGTTTGTGCTGACAATTATTTTATTGTAAATTCGAAGTTTATCAAGTGTTATAAGTATAATTTAAAGTTTCATTTAATGTGTGTACGCATAAAAGACTCATAGCTAAAAATACTCGCGGAAACCCCAAGCATTTTCTGATTTTAGTGGTTTTGTAATATTGGATATTTGTTGTATCAGGACATCGCTTTCTTTTATTCGTGTGTATTGCTTAGTTTTCTACAGTTAGTATTTCCTAGTCTAGTCAAACATTTGTATTGTTTTTTTTTAAAATCAAATATCTACTTAGTTGTAAGTTTCCTTTGCATGTAATTACAAAAAATTAGTGTTTGTGAAGAGTGAATAAATAAATATGTAAATAAATTCCGTTACTGGCGCGTTTTACTATGTAAACGCATGGAAAATATGGGAAACTTGCAGTGTTTTTCTGGATCCTGATTATGAAAATCTAAACTAGGTATCACGGATTTGGCTTCGTGAGCTAAGCTTACTTTGAATGTCCATATTAAATTGTTCTAGTACCTATCAAAGTATTGAATAATAATTGAGAAGTAAGTAGAGATGACAGTAAAAAATAAAACACACTATTGCAACCACATTTCGCTTATATTTTGATAATGAAATGCAAAAAATGTATCTGCATTGGGTTTGCCCTTTCTTTTACAAAAAAAACTAAAGTATAGGTAGGTATCCACTCATTTTGAATAGTTTTGGATACAAAATCTTTTCCTTTAGGAAAGTGATGAAATTTACATTTCTGACTGCTTGCTTTTCGATCAAATAGTTGTTATTACACCCATACACAGCATATCTCATTCCAGGTATATCTATTTCATAAATGTACCGTGTTGTTGCCTTAAAAAAAGCTACCTAAAAGAAATGCATGCACATTTCAGTATAATATTTATGTGGGTATCTGAAATTACCTTGCTGATAAGCAGAAGCAAACAAACTCGTCTTCCTAATTAGCCAACCATTCAAGCCTCAAGAAAAGAAATAACCTCAAAATAACAATTTTTCACGTTTGAAAATGCAAGGAAAGTGCACTGTCATAATAAAACACAAACCGATCAAGGACTGCGTGACGTCATTCGCATACCGCCATCTTCGATGTTTTTATGAACGTTTGTCTTATGGGATTGAGCAATCCTGTAGAGTTTACGATTCTTGGATAAACACCAGTAACACCCATAGAGTAGCCCCAGGGTTGCGTTTAGAAATAGCACTCTGGGTGTGAGAGTGACCCTAGAGTAACTCTAAACCGTTCATAAATTAACTGGTGCTTACTCGGAGCGTTACGCTGGAATCGTTCAGAAATCGAGAGTTGACGTGCCCAGAGTGGGGCTAAATTACCCCACTCAAGGACTGGGTTGAAAAACGCCCCGGAGTGCGTTCAAAGACGGCAATGCTAATGCCAAAACCTACTATTCCCCTTCTACCGGCGATGCCAAATCTGGTGTGAATTCGCTGGAACGCCAAATACCGTTTCTCAATAAGCAATCCAAACCACGTGACATTCAATATGGCGTGGCGACCATACATGGACCAAAGAAGACAAAAAATCTCTAGTTTCTGCCCGACTTAATAGTTTAGGTAATTAGTTAACAAATATTTTATTGAATAATCAAAATCGAAGCTGCAAACAAACAAAATAATTGAAATATGCATGAAAACACATAATCAAAACTAACTTGCTGGTCGCCACGCCATATTGAATTTGGTCTCATCCAATCAAAATTCGTATAACCATTTCTAGACTCAGTTGAAAGAGCCTCCAAAAGTTACTTTACCGCGGCCGATTTGGAACGTGTAAAGCCAACCGTTTTTGGCACGCTGGAGCCGTACTTGAACGTAATATGCCAATTTTGGCTCGGCTTTAGCCGTTTTTGAACGCAGCCCCGAGGTTTTTACCGGATTTGACGTTGACATTTAGCGCAACACCCCAATTACGTTAAGAAAAGGCGCACCCAGAGTGCACTCCAAGTGATGACGTCAGATCAATCTGACAAACAACTACTCTACCTTCACACTCCATTTCTAAATGCACTCCAGTATTTCGTATACTCTCCACACAAAAAGTTCATCTTTCAACGCTCATATCTCAAAGCCTGTAATACCTACAAGGTTGTTGAGAATTGAATTCGCTACAACATATCAAAATTTGAAAAGAATCGACCGATCGCTGAAATCCCATATAAAGCCTAGGGCTGCGTTCAGGAATGGCTACAGCCAAGCCAAAATTGGCATTTTGCGTTCGAGTTAGGCTCCAACCTACGTAGTTCGGCATTACCGGTGGAGGGGGAAAAGTAGGTTTTGGAATTAGCATCGCCGTCTTTGAATGCACCCTAGTACTCATAACTGCGAAAGTCGCACTTTTTTGACATTGCTTTGACAATTTGACGTTTAATGCGTGTATTAAACGTCAAATTGTCGAAACAAAGTCAAAAAAATGCGAATTTCGCAGTTATGAGTACTAGGCTTAAGGTGTGCATGCGAGGTCCATTTGAACCATATGTGTAAAAAAAGTCTAATAAAAAAGTTTTCTATTGGTCAAAATGTGGCCAATCACCTGACGGAAACGCTGATTCCCATCTTTCTTACGGCAAAAATAATTAGCCGCATAAGTTTTATTTGCGTGTCAAAAAAAATTGAATGGCGCAAACCGCAGATGAGCACGCTTGGTTTAAAAGCTATAAACTGGGACACCATGTATCGCGATTAGCGGATATTACAAATTCAAACCAGCGCAACTAATACCTAACTTTTAATAACGGCAATTCAAAAAATATCCTAATCTAATAAATCTATATTTGGTTGAGGAACATTGATACAAAACGTACACCCACAAAATCGAATGTCACGGTTATGACCTCGATAACAGAAACTGACATCAAAATAAACACAAAAATATAGTAAAAGAAAACTTACCCTTTTGACTTGAAAATGTTCGGGCCGCAGCGATTCTTGAATGTCCTGATCTGGTCGGGATGGCGGCTGCACCACGGAATTTCGAAAATTGTCCAAAACCCCTTTAAACGTGATTTTTCTCATTTTATTTTGTTGTCAACCTGTACTTATAAATCACATCTGCCAGCAAGGCATTCTATCGGAATTTTCCCCCAAAAATAATAATTATTCGCTAAAAATATTCCGCAAATTTACATTTTCTTTAATTTTTTTTTTGCGCGATTTTAAAATGTTGACATCATTTTAAATACTGAATTTGGATATGAAAATATCGAACGGTTAATGCTGTGGACGCGTCCCGATCTGTCCCGGACAATTTTCCGATGTACAGTATCCCTCCGGAAAATCGGGAAAATCCGGGATTCAGCAGAATACGCCAGTGATGTTAGCGACGACACTCCTAGCATCTAGGGATCTCTCTCTAACCCGCTTATGTAAAACTGCTCGAATGTATGTTGTATCGGCGAACTAGACTCGGATGATTATAATTTCTGCGCTAAAAGGACGTCAACTACTACGCAAGATAGGGCCACAGCGCGGAATGGGGGATGAAAACTCGAACAAAAAACATCCAGGAAAAGTTCCACGCTAAACAAAGAAACTGTGAAAACTCAAAATACGGGGAACCACGAACACGTATGTGTAAAAAATAAATATTAGATCGATAATATATCTAAAAAATACCCACATGTTGCTAGTTTTTGTTTTTGGCGCATTCAAGTCATCCAGCCATATATTCTTGCATCTTTATCGGTTGAACGGGCAAAATAAAGATAGAGAATGGAAGGCACGTTGTATCGGCAAGCAGATACGTAATAAAAGTTCTGCAATCAGCTGTTTGGTTGAAAATATTTCTTCTCTGATGGTATTTGGCGTTGTTTTCCGATAAAAAATCGAGTTTCTTGCCTAAATTAGGTTCTAATATTTAGAGGAAATGGTGGTGAATGTTTTTATACGGGGATTCGCTCTGATTTATTGTCAAAAAAAGCGGGAATTAGCAAAATTAGGGTAAGAAACGTACATATTTATTTATTTATTTATTAATTTCTGTAGGTATTCAAGAAATCGGGAATTGTGTTTCAAGTGTGATGTTTGTCATATCAGAACGTGTTTTTTCATCATTGTTTAATACCTAGTAGGATGACGATATGGATATGGCTCCAATAGTGTCAAATTCAAATAATCCTGGGATTTTCCAAATTTACCTACTTCACATTTTAGTTTCCGGTTTCGAAAAGTTCCCTTTTTTCTTCAAGTAAACAGTCACATCAGAGTTGAAACTGTTTCAAAAAAAAGGTACCTCTATTTCTAAATCAAAAATTAAAATCAAATTTATTCATGTGAAAATATGCAACAAATATGTTATTTGCACTTACATATGTCAAAGTAAATACATATAATAGCTAATAAGTATAAATAGAAAGTAGAAAATTCCTTCTATCTCAATGCGGTCCATAATTTAAACTTTATTTTCGTCAACAATCAACACAGAAGTGATCCATTATGTTCCTAGGACCATAAAAATCTTTATGTATTTGGTAATTTGTTCGATATTTTCCCGCTAGATGGCAGCGTCAACGATCGAGTTCGGGAATTACTCCAAGAGCATAACTTAGGCTATATTCTTTTTTTACTTGGCATGGCAGTACTGAGTTTCTGCTATACTGTTTTTACTGAATTTGTTGTTTCTTTTTTAACCAGCCGCTGTATCGGTTGATTTTGGAACGGATTCCAGTTTCCAGTAATTATAGGGTAATCCAAACAAAATGGCGGTCAATGCATGGTCAATGCCAAAAAATTGGCGCCATAAATTTTATTCAAGCAACCATGACATTTTCCATCAAAAAACTGTTTTTTGTGTATTTTGTGGTGTTTTCAGATGATTTTCTAGTGTTTGGAAGGATAATTTTCGTATTTTAAGATGGAAAGTTGTTAGTTTAAGAAATTATTAGTGGAAAACCCGGATGTTTCCAAAAGTTATGATTTCTTTGTGACAAACCTTTACCTACTAAACAATTCGGTAGGTACTATCCAGAGGCATTATTCTTGACTTTACCTAGGTAGAAAATTTGATATTGTTAACAGTTAATGCACTGTCTAATTGTCAACACAGTCAAATTTTATCTCGAGAGAAACTCAAGAATAAGGGTGCAGGATTTGTTTCCTGTTTAGTTTTTTCTTAACCAAATCCTGAATCCTGATGTTTATTTTATTTGTCTGCTATTCAAGATATCGACATAAGCTGATGTGGAGGATAGTAAATGGCTTGGATGCATACACCATTTATCATGTAGAGAGACTTTTTGGTTTTTTAATATGGATTTCGTAAGATTTTTTTCTCTTTTGCTACAATCCATGAAGCCCTCACAGTGTACAGACAAATCATTTTTCTCCGTTAAAAACCTGTGTTTTGTCTCTGCAAGAACGACATGAAACTAGACTTTCTCGCGATTAAAACGGCTCCCACAACTAAGTACAATGAAGTACAATACATAACGTATGCATTTTCCAAAAAATCAACACTTTACAGACCTTATACAAATCAAAAGTCGCAATAAAACGGATTTTTTTTTAATTAAGAAGGCATTGGCCTCCATTTTGAATTTCATTTTGACAGGTCGTTGGATTGCCCTATTGACATTTGACCGGCGATAAAGCTAACCTAACCTAACATAGGGTTGACAAACTATCGAAAAAAAAACTATCGATAGTGATATCGATAGAATGGCTTATCTATCGATAGTAACTATCGATTGTACTATCGATAGTTTGCCCTAACCAAAGTAACCAAATTTCTAATTAATTACGAAATAAATTTATCAAATGACAACAATAACATCATAACCTAAAATAAACATTAACCTCCAACCCCTATCAAGTCCATGAAAGTCACTCGTCACATTGCTCGCCATTCCTGTCAACCTAAAAATTAAAAATTGGCAGCACAGCATGTCTACCCCCAAAAAATAATTACAGATTTCTCAAAACAGCTACAGATTTCTTTATATTCACTCGCTATTGATTGAGAAACCGGCCCTCAAGAGTTTGGAACACTCGAGCTACTCGCTCCGGTGTTAGTCGACCCCGATTTGAAAGGAAGAAATACATGGTGCAACATTTTTCGAAAGGAATAAGCGCATAACGCTACGGAGCTATTCCAGAGTTCCTCCTAGGTGTGAAAGGAATACAATTATTGCAACTGGGCTCGCTTACCCTGAAGTTAAAACCAACTCGGAGGTGACTCGCTATTGAGAAACCGGCCATTTGGAACTATCGATAGTGGTACAGGTCTATCGATACTATCGAAAATGAAAAAAATATCGATAGTATCGATATTCCTATCGATAGTTTGTTATCCCTAACCTAACATCGAATTAGGCATTCCAGGTTGACGTCCTAACCGATCCGCCATTTTAGCTGAGGGGCAAACAAAAGCCAAACATAATCTGATTTAGGGCGGGTATTATAAAACTACTTTGAGAGTTAACTTAAAGTTAACTTCTGAAATTACATGTAATTCAAAAAGTTAGCTTCAAGTTAACTGTCAAAGCAGTTTTATAATACCAGCCCTTAATGGTATTTTCAATGCAAACCGAGAATTTTTGAAGTATTATTTTGTTAAGATGCCTTTGTTTTGTGGCGTTTTTGGGTGCTCCAATAGAGCGGAAAGGGATAAAGTGAGGTTTTTTAGGATTCCAGCAGCATTTAAAGATCGAGGGGTCGCATAAACGAGCTATCAAAAAAACAACGGAGTATGTGAATTGGATGCCTCAATTGGGGAAATTTGCCTGTAACGTTGTTAAAAATGCTCGAATTTGTTCGAAACATTTTGTTAATGGTAAGTTTTATGACTGTCTTGTTGTTAAAATACAAAAACACTTCATCTCGGTACATCAAAAAAGTTGTTTATGTTTCTACAAGTATATAGGTAACTTTTAATACCTTTTAGGTAGTCCAGCAGAATTTAAGGATACAAACAATCCGGATTGGGTCCCCAGTACAAATTTAGGATATACTACGATAATTGATAGAAGCCCAGAATGAACAAGCCAGTAAGCTAAGCTACATGCCAGATCTGTGCACCGATCAGAACAGTCAAAACTTTTGAGGAGTCATTCTACCACAAATGTATTTTTTAAACAATTTAGATTCTTAAGCATTATTTTTGTTAATAAATTGTTTGTTTACTATTGTTGAATTGAAATGTAAAGTGGCATGTCTGTAAATAAAGATTCATTCATTCATTCCATTCATTCGCAAAAACTAAAAACAACTTAAAATTAATTGAATAAATCAAAAAACGCAAAAATTCCAAAGCACAAACTCAAAAAACATTGTAAACAATGATATATAGGCTTTGTTTGCCCCTCAGCTAATATGGCGGACCTGTCAAAAGTCACGTGACCTGGAATGCCTAATCATCGACATGATTATTTTATATTTTTCTTTTTCAAGCTTTCCCCATTAATTATTCAATTGGCGAAATTCCTATACCAATAGATGTCTGCCGAACTCAGTGAACAACAAAGCCAGTTTTTTGAGGTTAGTTTTTGTTAAATAGGGCAATCCAACGACCTGTCCAAATGAAATTCAAAATGGAGGCCAATGCCTTTTTATTTTAAAAAATTCCGTTTTATTGCGATTTTTGATTTGTATAAAGTATGGTATAAAGTCTGTGAAGTGTTGATTTTTTGGAAAATGCATACGTTATGTATTGTTCTTAGTTGTGAGAGCTGTTCTAATCGCGAGAAAGTCTAATTTCATGCCGTTCTTGCAGAGACAAAACACAGGTTTTTAGCGAAGAAAAATTATTTGTCTGTACTTTGTGAGGGCTTCATGGATTGTAGCAAAAGAGAAAAAGTCCTACAAAATCCATATTAAAAAACCAAAAAGTCTCTACATAAATGGAGTATGGATCCAAGCCATTTACTATCCTCCACATCAGCTTGTGTCGATACCTTGAATAGCAGACAAATAAAATAAACATAAGGATTCAGGATTTGGTTAAGAAGAAACTAAACAGAAAACAAATCCTGGATAGTACCTACCTAATTGTTTAGTAGGTAAAGGTTTTTCACAAAGAAATCATAACTTTTGCGAACATCCGGGTTTTCCACTAATAATTTTCTAAACTAAAAACTTTCCATCTTAAAATACGAAAATTATCCTTCCAAACACTATAAAATTATCTAAAAACACCACAAAATACACAAAAAACAGTTTTTTGATAAAAAAAATGTCACGGTTGTTTGAATTTAATTTATGGCGCCAATTTTTTCGCATTGACCATGCATTTACCGCCATTTTGTTTGGATTGCCCTATTGTGTTTTATGGTGTTTTTGTGATTTATATAACAGAAAAAATACATAAAATGAATAATATTCTGTAGAAAATTGAACACTTCCAGTGTCTTCCAGAAACAATGCCCGGGGCCTAATGCAAACTTGCTTTGTTGTTCACTGAGTTTTGAGTACCAAAGTTGATCATAGATGTCGCCTACTTCGGGGCCTTTCGCGAATAGTTGGTTATTATTATTTATTACTGTAAATTATTATAGTAATACAATGCTCTTAGTTTTTACCAACGTAGTTGCCCTGGTATAATTACATAATCTAATTGAGTCCAAAGATACATAATGTTTTGTTATTACAAACAAACCTTCCAAGTTTAAAGAAAATCTGGAAACGGATTTTTGAGCTGATAAACCTCAGTGAAAAACTGATTTTTTTTGCAAACTTTGACACCCTATCCTATCTCAAAAACTAGCATAGCCGCTTTCGGATGCAGAGTGCCATAGATAAACAGAGTGCGAAGCGATTGAAGCGAAGCTCCTAGAACACTTCACACCCGCTACTCCATGCGTTTTGCGAACGCGTCAAACTGTAGTCGGAGTACTTCGGAGTAACTCGGGAGCGCTCAAAGGGTGTCACCCAAAAGCAGCTCATGTTTCTAAAGTCTGTTTTTTGAAGTGAATACTTCTTTGGCCGCATGAGAGTGATTTTTCAAG